CGGCACATCACCTTCACACAACATTCAGCCGCATCCACCATCGTGTATGATTTTATCCAAGGAAACTTTCTCTCCGGTCAGCAGATCTGGTCGTCTACTCCGCAGTCTGCTGAGGAATGCATCAATCAAACAAACAATCAAAATGTCTCGTCGCTTGCCAGTCGTTCAGCCCGTACGGTCCACTCACACTGAAAGAAGCTCTGAAAACAACCTCAGATCAAATAAAGTCCTGGACACCGTTTCAAATAGCACGTAACATATCACATAATCATTTAAAAGGAGTGTAATTTTGTTGTCGTTGGCGCTCGCTGTTAGGAGCTAAAGCCGAGTGCACCTCGAGCGCTTGAAGAGCATCAGCACTGGACAGCTCCACGGCACGCGCTCTGACTGACGGCGGCCGCTCCTTCCGCACGCGCTTCTGCTGTCCAACAGCGCCTCTCAGCAGAGCTGCCCATGACTGCAACAAATCACAAAGTTACTCAAGTAAATAAATCAACAGCACATTGGTGACGAAACTGACCCAGAAAAATGGTCCAGCATCTTGGTGGGGTGTGGTAAATGTATAAAAGAAGCAAGGGGGAAGTCCACTCAGTATAAGATTCTTCATAGATAGGCTATTACCACACTCCGGTAAGACTTTACTGGATGAAACTGATGAAAGACTATTTATGTTGGAAATGCCAGTCGGAAACAGGTACCTTTTTACATTGTATTTGGGAATGTAGTCTTGTTAAACCATTCTGGTAACAAGTTATGGATGTCTTAGGTTGCTGGTATGGCTCCGAAATATCTTTAACCTCTAAATTGTGTCTATTGTGACAAGTCTCAAATACCTAATGTTTCAAAGCGTGTATTTTCTGTTACTATGGCAAGTAGGATTATTTTGAGAATAATGGAAGACAGTCAAAGCCCCAGAATTGAAAGAGTGGGCCAGTGCAATGGTAGAAATGGCATCTGATGAATCCATGCTTAATCGAGTGCTGAATGGTGTTGAGGAGGGGTTGTCTCCCTGAGAAGAGTTCTGGACATTTATTACTGTAAGGTCTCAAAATGAATAGAAAACTCTTTTGTGTTCTGTCTTGTATTGTATTTTATTACATGATGAAAATGTGCCTGAAAAAATCTGTAACCTTGTGTAATTATGG